CCACGGGGATGCTCCTCTCTTCTTGGGGGCTGAACCTTGACCACCCCCTTTCCTTGTGTGAAGTTTTTTAGGTTTTTTTGGGGTTTTTTTTGGGGGGTGGGGGCCGGGGAACAACCCCAGAGCAAAGGCTGAGCAGAGAAGGAAAGCACAGCGCTGTGCCAGGGAGATTTCACCACGGCTCTCTGCTTCCCGCTGCCTCTCTGCTTCTTTTCCCCCTTTATTCCATAGGTAAATGTCCACGAAATAATATTTATTTACAGTCAGGATGCTGCACGTATTTTTTTTAAATTGTATTTTACCGGGGTGATTCCTTCATGCTTTTAAAACAAGCGGCTTGGAAAAATATTCCCATTTGGGGCAGGAGCAAAGGAGAGGAAAAGGGGGGGGTGGCAGCATTTTTATTTATACCTTTGACATTTAAAAGAGCATAATTAATTTGTCCTGCTTGCATTAACATTGTTGAGGAAGGTTTCAGAAAGCAAACCAGCAAAGGGAAGGGGGGAGGAAAAATAGAAGCTCGCCTAGAAAGCTTTGGATTTTTTTTTCCCCTCTTTCAGATGTGTAATCAATCATTCGAGTAGGAGGCAGCAAAATTGTAAAGATTCGATAGATTAAAATGCAAATGAAAGGTAGAAAAAGAAACATTAACATGGCAATCAAAGATTTAATAATCGTAAATCACGGTGGGGTTTTTTTGTTGCAGCTGCAGTTTGTGTGTTTTTTATGTTTTAATCATGTTCGTTCTATAAATAAATAATTTCTGAAACGAGACTAATTTTTCACTATTTTAACCGTGGGCTATGGCACTAAATATTTTTTTTTTTTTAATGTATGGAACTCCAGATTGCAAACTATCAGAGTAGGAAAAGGGAAAAGATAGCTAAGTTGGATTAGCTCACATCTGAAATTTTAAGTACAATGTCTTTGCAATGCCGACCGCTTCACTTTCCAATTGAAATCCTTATAAAGTTTATTTGGAATCGTGAATGTTTACGTAAAAGCAGACAACCGGCGATTCTTTACGAGGCTAATGGTAGCGACAACCCTCATTCCTGGAGGAAATATGGAAAAATATATATATATGTGTGTATTTGTGCGTGTGTGTGTGTATTTTTTTTTCCTTTTCCCTATATATGCACGTATAGGAAAAAGAACAATATAATTTAGGCTGTATTACCTCCAAAATTAAAGCGTTGCTAAATTTCCAAGGGAAGATTAAAGAGGGGGGAACCTGCGGACAGAGGTGATCAATGCGGTGAAGGACAAGCAGGAGAGGATTTGCTCTCCCCCCTCGGTTTAGCGCGGCGCCTGAAAGGGAAGATCCGGCACTGCCTGGGATGGTTGTGGCAAAACCATCATCCTTCTGTCCTGGCTCACACGGGCTCGCCTTTGGTACCCCCAAATCCCGGGTTATGGGGTGCACTGGTTCATCCTCTGGGAAAAAAAAAAAATTCCTTGAACTTTTGGGCTCAGTGATGGAGTTCATTTTGCGCGGCGACGAGGGGGAGAAAGGAGTTCATCTACACTTCGTTGGCAATCTTTGCAGAGCCGAGGCTGAGAGAAGGGAGAGGAGGAAAATCCCCCGTGGGCTGCTCCGCTCTGGGGCTTTGCGGCAGCGCTGCCGCCTCCAAAGAGCGCTCGGCGAATGGAAAGCGGTACAAAAAGCAGCTAAATACGGGAAACGAGCCGCGTTTCTGGGACCTTCTCCTCCTCTCCGAGGGGACCCTTGCCCGTCCTGTTCCCCGCTCCCCGGTACCCCGGCAGCGCTCCCCGCCGCCGGACCTTTCCTCCGCACCGCATCCTCCAAAATTCACCAATTTTTCCTTTTTTTTTCCCCAGCCAAATCACATTATACCCACTTTAATTTTTTTTTTTTTCCCTTGCTAGATCCCTATTTTTTTTTTTTTTTTTCCTCCACTTCCTCTCCCCGGATTGGGGGGTCCCAGTAGGACGGCCCCGCTGGTTCTGCACGCCGGGGCTGCCCGGGACTTGTTGTCTGCCAGGCGGGGAGCGGGGCCTGGGGGCTCCGGGGGGCTCCGGGGGGCTCCGGGGGGCTCCGGGGCCGGGAGGGTCCGGGGGGGCCCCGCCGCCTCCCGCAGCCCCTGACCCCTGCATGCACGGCGCGGCTCCATTGATCATCCCGGCCCGCCACCCCCTCCCTTTATGAGATAATGCAATTACAAACATCAATAAGGAGCTGCGAGGGGAATCATTATGCGGTGACAGTGATAAATGACGGTGCAGAAATAGCATGCTTCTTTTTTTTTTTTTTTTTTTTTTTTTTTTTTTTTTTTTTTTTTCTCCCTAACAATCCAGGGGCTTTGGGGGCTGAGCACAGTCACCAAGGTAACAGATGACATCCAAAATGGCACCAAAGGAAAAAAATGAACAGTCTTTCTTTCTCCTTTCACTCTTTTCGCCCTGCTCTTCCAAAAGAGTTAGTTGGGGCTTTGGAAGCAGCTGCCACACAGGCATGCGGGTATTTCCACACGCATTAAAGGGACGGGGAAGGCTTGCTGGCTGTCACACACAAAGCACCAGCCACCTCCAGGAGGCACCGGGAGTTCCCACTCCGGGCACGATCCCCCCGCACCTCTCCTGAGCCCGGGGACAGCCGCCTCCTCCCGGCCTGCAGGAACCGTCCGCTCGATTTTATACATGAAAATAAATATAAATATATATATATATATATATACGTTATCATCACGTAGCAAGGTGAAGGGAGGAGAAAAACGCTTTTTTTTTTGTTTTTCACGCAGGTTTAGGACGCGCGGAGCGAGGGCCCAGTTAAGCGAGAAGAACTTTACGCGCAACAGCGCCAGGGGTGGAAACATTCACGGCGCGGCCGAAAAGTGCCGCTCCTGAGCCCAAAAAATACCTGTGGCTGCGGGTGGCACGGCCGAGCCGGCAGCTTGGCTGGAATTTGCCCTCCCCCCCCCTAAAAAAAAAAAAATAAAAACCCGCTTGGGGATGAGGTGCCCGGCTCAAAATTCCGCGCTGAGGAGCCCGGCGCTTCTCAAGCCTGTGGGAAAGGGAAGAGCGCTGCGCTCGCCTTGCGCGGGGAGGTGAAAAAATAAAAGAATAAAAGGGGGACGCGGCAAATCGGGGTAAATTAAAAAATAAAAAATAAAAATAAAAATAAAAAAAAACCCAACAAAACCAAAATCAACAAAACAGAGCGACGCTGATGGCTGCGCAAACTTTTAGCCTGGCAACGCGCAATGTCCGCGGGCGGCCCCGAAACCTCCGCATCCCCCCCCGCGTCACTCTCCCGAGCCCCCAAGAGATGGCAGTCGAAGACGGCTTTCCTCCTCCTCCTCCTCCTCCTCCTCCTCCTCCTCCTCCTCCTCCTCGTCCTCCTCCTCGTCCGCGGCAGGACAGGAGCCGCGGCCGCTCCGCTCTCCGCCCCGCGCAGCCCCGCGCAGCCCCCGGGGCCGGGGAGGGGGGGCCCGGCCGGGCCCCTCCGGTCCCCCCCGGGGCGGTGAAAGGAGGGTAGCTAGGAAACAGCGAGCGGCCCGAAAAGGCGGAATTTCCAACGTGTAAAATGTTCTTAACGGAGCCATTGAGAGAGTGCAATAAGGCGTGAGGGGGAACTAATCTTCCCATTTAAATGTTTGTGGCAATTTTATCTAAATGAATTTTAATGCTAAACGAGGGATAATTCCCTATTTGTAACCCGTTTACTTCTCTTTCCTGTGCCTCTGAAGCTGTCTAACATCATGCGATGAACAATAACAATAAAAATACTGTCAAGGCATATTCTTCATTTTGAATGTGTTATAATTACAGCTGATTAAATGTCTTGGGATGTAATCGTGGGTTTAATTTGAAATGTGCCCCTCTCCAAAAAAAAAAAAAAAAAAATAAAATAAAGGTCCCATGGAGGAAGGTCTGTGCCCCACTTCGCAGCGGCTGCGAGAAGGGACGCGTGTGCCCTCGCCTGCGAGAGGGCGGTTTGTTTTTGTCTTTCAAGAAACCTTAAAAAACCCCAAAAAACCCAAACACGTAAAAACAAAACAAACAAAACGAAACAAAACAAAAGGAGGAAAAAAAAAAAGGCAAAAAAAAAAAAAAAAAAGCGAGCCCCGTTCATCCACGTTTTGGCAGAAAAATGTCATTACTACTCCGGCTTCACAAAGAAGGAGCCGGGATGTTCAGCCTCTCCTGGGCGGTACAGCGGCCCTTTAAAAAACGGGGGGAAAGGAGGAGGGGAAAAAAAAAAAAAGAAAAAAAAAAAGAAAAAGAAAAGAGAGGGGGAGGAAGTCCCAGCCGAGGAGGAGAGGTGCCCCTTTGGTGGCCTGCTTCATTCAGCAAGGTCTGCACTGCCTGCCCAGCCCTGCCCAGCCCGGGGTACCCCGGGGACACGCAGGGCAGGGACCCCGGAGTGTGCCCTGCTTGCATTATTTCACCTTAATTAAGATATTTGTGTCATTTTCTTAGCCTGGCGAATCTCTATTTTTCCTTCCATAGCTGCGACTTAAAGCAAAGGAGGTGTCGCAGAAAGCACAAACAGAGGAAATTGGTTCATGAGGGTCTGCACTGGCCTCGCTCGCTGAGGTCCAGCAGCACCTCATCCCCTGACAGAAATCCATTGCCCAGGCAATGTTTGCCAAGTTTTATTTTCCTCCTTCCTCAGTATGCCCAATTCCGCTAAGAAACTCGATAATTTGAACTGCATATCAGACTATAATTTGGGAGGGAAGGGGGGTAACACTATTTACAAATTTCTGTCCAATAATGCCCTACGATATTACATTTATTAAAAGGCAACAGTTCCCATCCTGACAATTTACAGTGCAAGTTCCAAGAAAGTTTCTTTATGCAGCGTAGCATTACTTTTACATTCTTTAAATATGAAGCTGATATTTAAATAGCAAATGATAGGTAACATCTCCAGAGCCGGCCGAATTTTGTAGCTGCTCGGCTCTCAGACTGGGATAGAATGGCTACAAATACTGCATGGGGACAGGAAACAAATTTTGCAAGCAGTGGAGTCACCATGACAAAAAATAATTTGTTTTTATTTTAGATTCAGATTTCATTACTGCACTCAAACTACTACAACTGGGCTTTGAGTTATTATACAATCCAAACTGTTTCAATCAGAAACTCTAAGACTCAGTGTGCAATGATTATTATTAATAATAATTAGCTCCTTGGTTTCTTGATAGAAAAAGGCTATCAACAAGCATTTGTTTAACCACAACAAAAGTATAATTAGCTTATCCCACTTAGTAAATCTGTATGCATGCCAACTCATACCAAACTGCTACTTTTACAAAAAATTGCAATAATACAGATCATTTTTCCAGTCCTTTTTGCACAAAATTTATTTACAATGTATACATAAATGCTCCATGATGGGACTATGGAAAAAAAAAAAATGCACACATGACCGATGTCTTGCCCAGAAAGAAAGTCAACATATTAAAAATAAATCTTCAGTCCATGTTTTGAGCTGCATAAAACAGGAAGTGATGTACAAGGTGGTGGTTGCTGCATGGGGACAAGGATGCTCTGATGTGACAATTAGGCTTCAAATACACTGCCTTTCCGTTTCCATGCTTCCTCCTACCAGTCTCCTTAAGACACTGCCTGCAACAGCTGATTAATCATTGTTGATGACTTCAGTTTTTCCCATCCTTCCCGATTTACATCTGTTCAGGCCAATTCAAATATGGTGAGTAAATGAATTAGACATGCAAATTCACGCCCCAGGCTAGAAAGAGAGAGAGGGAGAGAGATGGGGAGAAAGGGAGAGAAAGGGAAGAAAGAGGGACAGAGGAGGAGGGGGGGAGAGAGAGTGCGCATGGCTGAAATCCTAGGATAGAAGAAAGATTCTTCTGCCTGACATAGTTATTTTAATGCTCTAAAAATCCTGCAAATAAGCCCTTTCTGTCATTTGCAGGATAAGTGTAAGGCTTCTTTGTTAATGTAAGGAGGCTTCTGGAGGAAGTGAAGAGCTATGGAAACAACACACATAGTGTGGAAAAATTTCACATTTTTTTTAAAAAATCTATAAGAAACAACGTAATATGGATAACAGTATAATAGCATTTTACAATATTTCACTCTTTGTTTTCTTAATGTCTTATATAGGTATTTAGCATGTCCCCAGAAGTTGACTTCAGTTGGTGTTTTCCTGCTTTTCAGGGTCCCTGTGAAGAACTGGAACGTCCCTTGGTCCGAAGTTGACGCCAAGAACTCCATAGTCATTGCAGAAAGACAATGTTTGAAATCTACCATGGCTGCAGACAACGTGTGTTTCCCTTAAGCTACTGAGCATGAATGTCCATCACTTGTCCGCTCACTGCTGGCTCGACGGGATGAAGCATTGTGGGGCTTGATGCTGACATGGGCATTCCAGGGTGGGGTGGTCCTCCATGCATCATCATCGCTGGGTGGTGGGGGTGTCCAGGAATGTAGGTATGCATGGGGGGGCCATGACGCAGCTGAGCAGGATGGGGGGGCATCTGGGGCGGCGTGTAGCTTGGCTGTCCCATATTCATACCCATTGGACTACCCCGAGACACATAATCCCCTGGCATAGTTTGCAGCCCTGCAGAGGGAGAGAAAAGGTGGAGGTGAGTGCTGGGGATGCCTGTGGCATCGGGAGCTTCCCCGCTGGGAGTCTGCATGTGGACCCACAATGGCAACAGGAACGGCCCCCAGGCCAAAAACAACCCCAAAAACATCCCACTCCCCCCTCCCCTTCCAAACACAGAGCTTTTGGAGGTAAACCAGCGTTCTGCTTTTATGGTTAGGAATGTGTGCAGTGGAGATGTTCCTGGTCTCGAAGCGTGCCAGAGGCGGTGCCAGCCTGAGGATGGCTAATGGCACACGGAGGGCTCTCAGGTGGGCTCCATTCCCCATGGCCTTATTCCAACCACCTGCCTTCTCCTCCCCACTTGTAAAAGCACGCTGGGAATACAAGGCAGAGAATCTGCAGCAGCTAACGAGGGACTCGGGAGGAGCGATGGGTTAAATAGGTGTCAAGGTTTATCAACAGCTATTTATTTAGCTCTTGAGCCTGATCTCTTGGAATCTGTCCCAAATATTTGTGCCATTCAAAGAGATGCAATCCAGCAAGGACATACATCACTGAACAAAGGCCTCATACGAAGCCGAAATTGATAGGATTACTAAGTATGATTGCTAAATCAAACTCGTATTTTTAGACACATTAAAAATATATACATAATCAATAACAGTTATCAATTATTTCTTTACCTCCCCCCACCCCCCCACCCCCCGATCACCTCTGGCCGCCAAAAAAAAAAAAATCAGATGCCCAACTCAGTCAAACCTTTCAGTGGGTTTGGGAGAACAATAAGAAAAAAATTGGACCTAAAACAATAAACCCTCCTGCTTTCTGTGGGCCTCTGCCTTCTGCTTGGATTGCTGTAGCTGATGGGAACTGACAGGTGTATTGTTTCGGAGAGCTATAAGCTCCATAATCATCAAGGGTGAAAGGCATACGCTATTGCTAAGTAGGTTCAATTGGCTTTGGTTCTAAGTAAGAGCGCGCCGTGAATGCGCCGAACACCTTGGAATCAGGTCTCAAGGCTCCAGCAATGAATAGCTGCTTAATCTAGCCTAAAGGAACAGTTTTGAACTAATGAAAATTGCTTATAAAATATACTGTACTCACAGCTCTTTAATCAAAAAAGATGATAATATTTTTTGTAATAACCTATTAATTTAATTGGTCACGAAGCATAAAATACATCATTTAAATTTAATTGACCCAGAAACTAAGAAACAATATTTAAATTAACTAAGCTAGAAATTTTCATGATGAGGTAATAAGGCTATTGCATTCCCAAGCTCAGAGGAATGTTTTCACAGCTAATTGTTAAAACTTAGTTTTGACTTGGGCTCAGGGAAGACTACTATGAAATACACTCGCCCTGGGTAACTTCAAACCCTATGTTAATATAGGCTGGGGGCAGAACAAAGATGCTGAAATAACTCCTTAAACTCCAGAAAGAGAGCAAGACAAACAGAATCAGGCACCATTTAAACATGGCACCAAGTGTCCTGGTGTTTCAAACCACTTTACTATTAAAAGAAAAACGAAACAAAACCCAAAAATTTGTATAATGTATTTTTCCCTAGAAAAAGACAAGAGGGGGAAAAAAAAAAAACTGGGACAGTTTTTCTAGGCTTCCTTTGCGAGGTCTGCCACTGAAGATTGCATTAATGATCTCTATTTTTGTATACTGAATAAGTCAAATCCATTTGTCACACTGCAAGTGATGGCATACTTAATTTGGATATAGTCAATTAGCCTGGGCTAAGCTCCATAGCCTGCTGCGCACACCTCTATTTTGTATTCTCTCTTTTTCCTTTGCCACACGTAATCCCATTATGACGGACAGACAAAGAGAAATAAACTTGAAAAAAAAAAAAAAAAAGAAAGAAAAAAATCAAAGTTTCATCCATGGCTTTCCAAAATGCAACTAAGTGAAGCTGCTGGGTTTTGCTTGGTGTTTTTTTTTTTTTCCCCTACCCCATGAGAAGTCTCTGTTTGGCTTTTTTGGTGTCTTGCAGGTTAGCGGGAGAAATGTAACTCATGCATCAACTGCGGTTAGACAGATTTATGACACTTTGGGGACATGCTCTTTCCTCTCCCTGTGCTGCTGCAGACCGCTTACATTTTGCAAATCAGTCTGTTGCCAAGACGACGGGCTCCCCCACCTCCCTGGCTGCTCCTTGTTTTGTCATGTGCTCGGGGATGGATAATAGCATCAATGTATGGCGGCGTGGATGTACGGCAGCGTCGGCGTACGGCGCGCGCGCGCGGGGGGCTTGGGAGCTTGGGAAGCTTGAGCTGAACCAGAGGGAGAGAAAACCCAAAGGAGCCCAGGCGCAGGATGGATGGATGGAAAGGAAGGAACAAGCATGAGGCTATGGGCAGGGAGAACATAGGGAAATGCAAGAAGACAAATATCCCTCGGACAAAGTGAGAACAAAGACCTCGTTTGTACTTACTTCCCCCTGGCTTTGCCATTGGTTACCTAGGTGAAGGTTACATGTAGTGCCACTGCCCCTCCATGCCCATATTCATGCCCATTCCACTCATAGGTCCTAGAGGGAGATAAAAATCCAAGAAGATGCCAGAAAATGAGCAAAGTCAACAGATAGTGCCAAAAGCCCCTTTCCAAAACACAGCACGGCAGAGGGGCCAGGACCGCTCGAGCAAGGAGACGCCCGGTTTCCCTCGGTGGTGTGGAAGGCAGGCAGAAGACAGGTGAGGCAAGCAGGCAGCGGGGAGGACGGCAGAGGGAGAGGGCAGAGGTGTGTTTACCTGTGGTGGCATGACTGAGGCCACCCGTGAGTGGGTGGCACTGCCCAGGGGCTTACCTGGCGCTCGGATGCCCATGTGCTGCTGGCCGTCCATCACGAAACCTCCCATCGGCTGCCCATCGGGGTTATAGGGTGTCCCTTGACTTACTGGAAAGGTGCAGAACATTTCTTTTTAGCCATTTCTTTTTAGCAACAGCCAATATGGTCATCTCTTCTCATGGCATGGGACACAACCCCCTCACCCACTATATTAACGTAGGGTTTGAAGTTACCCAGGGTGACTGTATTTCATAGTAGTCTTCCCTGAGCCCAAGTCAAAACTAAGTTTTAACAATATCATGAGCTATCTAAAAAGAGGGGAAAACATCTACTGTGCAAATTTAGCTGTTGGACTGACAAGCGTGCTTGGTTTTGGCCTAATTTTCTTCTGCAACTTTGGAAAGAAGTTAATAAACTGAAATCTTGAGACGTGAGGAGCCCCGGCTCCAGCTGCTGCCGCTGCTGACGTCAATGCAAAAACCTGTATAGGAGCCGGATTTTATGGCTGGAATAGTCACACTGAAATCTCAGTGTGTTAAATTACACCCTTGTGCCTTCAAAGGGCAGGACCCGAACACATCCATGCCAGATATTTACGTCTAATGACAAATAATCAAATGGACTTGAAGAGGAAGCGTGGCCCAAAGGCATCTTGGACAATTTGGAGAGTTTGGCAGGGAGACTTGGAAAAAAACCCAACTGGGAGTAATGGGTTATGATAATCCTTGATGGTAAATACCCACAGAGAGCTGTGAGCCAAGACCCCAGATAGAACCAATGTGTGGAAACTAAGGGTCTTTTAAAAAAATATAAATAAATACCCACAAAGCAAACAGCAAATGCTCAGCAATCCCAAAAGAAGAGCCAAGGGACAAAAGGACCCTATACAAGTACCACTGCCTGAACTGGAGGTTTTCACTGTACGTTAAAAGCCAGCTTCAGAAGTAAGCTGGCTTGGGTTATTAAAGCACATAAAGCTCTACCTCATTGAATGTCTTTGAACTTTACTGAGTCCCACAAGTGATTCTGACCCCTTTGCCCTTTTGACAGGTAATAAAGTTTACAGCAATTCCACACCAAGCCATGCACCAGGGAGTGGTCACAGGAGCAAAAAGAGCTGGGAAGGAAAACTCCAAACAATGACTAAAAAAATACAAGAATAATTTGGACCGTGTACAGAAAGTCCAGTCACGGAACGGAACATTTTAGTTTTCCTTTTTGAATTTTCAATGTATTTTTTTTTTTCCAAAATTATTAGAGTCATAATGAAAGAAAGCTGGTTGTATTTTAATTGTCAGTCACTCCCAGCATTCATTTCTCATTTATTTACCAGGTACTGGACCTCCTGGTGAATGGCTAGAGGATGGTTTTCTCCTGTGTGGCTTGAATACAGTTACTACTGGGGACTTGCCTGCTCGATTGGACTGGTCTATCATGGGCTGAACTATTCTTCTTCTAGCATTAATAAACCTGCAAGAAAAAAGAGGAAAGCAAATGGTTAGGGAAGGGATGCCTTCCACCCATCCCCAAGCCCTCTGGCCCGACTGTGGTGCTCTCCATCAGGCTGCATGGGGATGCAAATCCTGCTAAACCTCTAACCCTGATGACCTTTGGGAGCACAACCTTGGGGTTTCCAAGCTGATTTATGTTTGCCTGCTTTTTACCACAGTCGGACACTTCCATTTCATCTTTTCATGGGGGAATTAGCCGAGTTTTCAGGAAACAATGCCAGCAACACTCTTCTCAATACAGAATGGGGCACCAAAAAAACAAAAACGTGTGAAGCCGGCGAGATGCTCGTGAGGGCATCTGCTACCTCCCCCCTCATTAGTGTCATTTCTGCCTTATGTCCTTTGACTTCTTTTTCCAATTTTTTTTCTTTATCAAAAACTGTCCCTACCTCTTGCAAACCTAATTCCCTTTTAATGCCCACTATTAAGATAATGAACTGTGATGGTAGAACCCCATCAAATGAGAGAACGTCTGGACTTTTATCACCACTAAGTCACACTGCTGGGGACTTCAGAGCCATGCATTCCTCCTAGCCATTTCTTGGTGGGCTTTTTCTCCCCCTCCCTCTCTTTATGCAAAGTCTGAGGGGGTCAAGGCGAGGTCATAGCATTACAGTAATTGAATTTATAATCCTGTTTTCTCCAGCTAGGCCTGACCATTTACAGCAAACATCTTGTTAAACTGTAATTACTGGACTACTGAAAATTCCCCCCCGAACAATGAAAAGATCTTTGGAAATAACAAAAAAAAAAAGGAGGTGCAGTCATTTTTAAAAATAGCTATCTGCAGCCCACTCTTTGTGTTTTTGTAGCTCTTCGCCTCAGTCCTGCAATGCTTATTTGGAAATATTCAAAATAATTTGGAGCAAAACAGAAGAAGGAGATAGATCACAAGCACCCTGGTCTCCTCATGGTGCTGAAATCAGGAGGCTGGGAACCATGGCTGGGAACCTGTCTGAATAAAGACCATTTGAAGAATCTCTCTTGAGGTTTCACTCAGTAGAAAGTTTACTTAAAATCCATTTGGAAAAAAATCTACATTGAGATTTAGTCATGGCAAAGCTGCATAACCAGACTTTGTGCTCTTGTGAGAGAGAAAAAGAATAATAAAAATATGTATGCCACAATATTTACTAGTAAAGGAAGAAGTGTGAGTGTGGGTTAAATCACAGCACACTCGTAAAATGGGATAGAAGAGTCCACAAAGGAATACTTGATGCTTGTTTTCATTGCCTTTGCTTGGGGTGGCTTAGCAGGAGCTCTCCTAGCACAGAGATAAAGCCACCAGGATCTTTCCACGGGAATCAGCACTGCCCACCCATTCGCCTTCACCAGAGGAGAGAAGAATAGCAAACCACTGCCCCATGCTGTTTCTTTTGCCCTCATCAAAGACCAGCACAGTGACTTCAGACTCCTCCTATCTCCCATTCCCCACTGACACCCATTACCCAAACTCCTGCAAAAATTAATCAAGATGTTGAGTCTTTATCAAACCTGTCTTGAGGAAACGGGCTCAAAGGCACCAAACCCGGCTGCCAGTCTGGAAACCTCACACCTGAGCTAGATCATGTTTTGTCAGCAACAGCGTTGGATCAATTTTTTCTACACATTTCCAATAAACACCCCCTCTCGACTCCAGCAAACAGTGTTGCAAATCAGTTTATCATTATCTTGTACAAACCATGAAAATTAGAATCATGTGAGCAGAAGGTTAGACTAATTCTCCTTTCTCATTATAAGCACAGGTGTAGCACAAACACCATGTGAAATAAGCAATTAAAAAAACCTGCTTTTTTTCCCCCATTAGCTGCCTTAGCTCCATGACCAATTAGAAAATTGTTTAATATCTGTAATCTACATTTGCAGAAAGCAATTTTCACAGTAACTCTTCGAAGTAAAACAACACCACAAAACCCTAGTGCCTCAGCCATTTCTTTTTGTGAGTCTGGCAAGGATCCTGCTGTGTTCACTCCCTCCTTCTCCTGCCCCACTGCTAGGACCTGCTAGAGAGGCAGCAGAAGAGAGGTGGCTGTGAGAGCCACCGAAACAACTTTTACCCCAAATAAATGCTGAGCAACATTAGGCATGTACTACCTCAACTTCATGACTTTTTCTTCCTTATCCTCCAAACTTCAAGCACTTTTAAGATGAAGGGGGGTGCCTCAAAATAATAAACTGTCCTATATATAGTATTGTTCATATACTACTATTCTAGAATAAACTATATATCTAGAGTTTACCAATAATTACCCACAAGATGTGCCTATGGTAAAACATAATCTCACCTGCTTGCCCCATGCTATGGTTTGGGATTTTTAAGAACATTTTACACACAGGTACTTAACAATTATCTTCTTCCTACGCATTTGTGTAAGTATTTTCTATAAGTAGCAATTCTGCCAAACAGCTCAGTGTTTGGATGTCTTTGGGGGGAATTCAGACACAAGAACATTTTCCTTCTGGGCAAAGTAATAAAATGACATTCTTGCTCCTCCCACTAGAAGTCAAATGGAGGTCAGCTCCCCATCCTTGTATCTGTTTAAATAAACTGGTCCAGCTGTTTGTTTCCAGGATGCCCTTTAACCTTCTGTCCCATCCTCCCTGCCTTTGTAACACAACGCTTTACTTTGCATTATAGTAGACTCCAAACCACTGAGCATTAAAAAAAAAAAAGAAAAGAAAAAAAGAAGAAAGTATTCACTTTCAAGTTTCTTCCTGCATCCCAAACCTAGAATTTGTAAGAACCTATCAGATTAAAACAATTAATGTAGCTTGCCTTGAGAGAGCACAATGCAGGCTGTGATGTTTATAAATCACATTTGAGAACTTCTTGCAAGCAAAACTGTGAATTAGCTGTTGCTGCAGAAATATACGGGCGTGTGGTTAATTTCTTCATACTCTCAGTCTTTTTTCTTTGAGAGAAGGGCCAGGATCTTTTGATCACTCTTTGAAATTTCTAAAGTGCCAGGCTGATTTGAACATCAGCAAAAATGATGGAACAGAAAAGCTAACAGGAATAATCTCCCCTTTCCCCAAATGTTCATATTCACCTATCTTAAGAGAAAGAAACTCTAAATCACTCTAATCTTTAAAACTTCAGAGAAATCAGGACCTAAAAAAAACGTATTACTAACTACTACTGAAATGGAAGATTATCAAAATACAATTTAGCATAAAACTTAAGACAGATGTATAGCCTTACTCATGTGAGTAAAGAGCTAATCAAGCTCAAAGGCTTGCATGAAGTATTTTTCCCCACATCAGTGCTCTGTGTTCTGGTATCTTTGCTCTGATGAGGAAGGTTTTTTTTTTGGTTTGAGTTTTTTACCTCAAAAGAGTTGGATCAATAGTGGCACAACAACATAATATCCCTCAGTGTACAAGTTGCACTCAGCAAAGTGATGCCTTGGGCTACCTTTATTTTTTTATTCCTCCTTTTTTTTTTTCTGGAGTTTTTCCTTTTGTTTTGTTTTGTTTTGTTTTGTTTTGTTTTGTAAGGGGAAGGATCTGGCATGGAGATAAAAAATTGAACAGTTGGGCAAACACACAAATTTGAAATATTTCCTAATTTTTTCAAGTCAGCTTTTCCTTGTTCATGGAAGAAGGAAATGAACAGATATGCAATCCCATGTGATCTTTTCAGACACATGGGATTGCACTTTCTGCAAGAAAACCCCAGCGATTCCACCTGCATCACCCTAAAGGGGAGGAGGAAACCCTCTTTTCTCCCATTTGCATTTTTCTAGGATGTTTTCTCTTCGGCTTCTGTCTGCAGAGGTCACGGGCAGAGTCCCAGGTTGGTGCATGGCTGGTCCCACGGGTGAGCTCCAGCCCCAGCCCCGGGGATGCAGCAATCTGCCTCTGCACTCTGACCTTCAGCTTGGCCGCCCTGGCTGCCACGCACAAGTTTTGTTTCTTCTCAGCAAGAGGCTGCATGGCTGGTGATGACAAAAGACTTATTTTAGTTGGAAATTGGCTACAATAATAGCAGCCAGAGAGCAAGGATTTTCAGAGGGTCACCAAAGCCTCCGAAAGGCACAGCTCGCCGAGGCTCAGGTTACAGCCCGAGTGACATTTTCCGCACAGATCTGTTCTTTCTCCCTTCCCCTTGTATTTCACTTCTGTTGAGTGAATAAAACAAGACCTTCCTCTGCTGTCACGAATTTCCAAAGTCACCTTTGCTCAAGAATCGACAGAGTGATTGTGGGGACTTCCAATTTGCTGTCTTTGGATGAAATTTTCCAGGAGCAGCTGTCTGAAAGGAGATGCTGAGACTTCGCGGTCTATTGAATTTTTCTCTGCCCCCAGCCCTCCGAAATGAGGAGAGTTTCACACCATTACTGACTTCTGCTACTTGGAGTCACAGGCTGCCCCCTCTCAATATTGTCCCAAAGCACTGCATGCCAGAAGTCTGTGTTTCACTGGCAGAGCCAAGAAATTCCCGAAAATCTCTCTGCCTCATTTTCTCCTTGAGCTCCTTCTAGCAAACCAGGCGTAAGAAGAATGAGAAAGCCCACGTTACCTACAAACCCCAGTGCTAAAATCTCTCATGGGCCTCTGAAGAAAAACAGTATCCCTCTGGACAACAAACAAATCATCATTTTTATAACAGATGCCAAAGTAAACGTAGCACTTCAAACTGGCAAATAATTCACTTGTAAAACCAGTTGCACTCCTTTCTGCATAGTGAGATCCTTCATTTATACAGCAGCAAAACAACATTCTCTATTCAGCACTTAATTCCTCAACGCTTAACAGGTTTATCTCTAATAAAACCAATTTAAATGGAAAGTGTGCTATAAACCAAGATTATTACACTTCAGTAACTGCTTTATTCCTTATTTTAACATATTTTCTTTTTTTCCTCTGTGTTTGTTTTCCGGAGATTTTTAAAAGAGTCTGTTACAGAAAAGATAAAAAAAAATACCAAAACAGAAATTATTTCACCAAATACTTTCA